ATGGAAAAGGCTCAAGATTTAGGTTTATGGCCATGCTACTACTTTTATTTAGGTTTATGGCCATGTTACTACTCTTATGGATCACCTCACTATAAGGCAGAACTATTTGTATGAATCCCGGTCAATGGTTTGGAAGTAGAATCTTGAGTACATTGGTCCTTGCTAGCTCCTTGAAGCTGCATAAAAATATTCAAGGTAGGAATTTCATCTCCAATGTTTCATGGCATGGCTTAACAGCCCTGTGTCTTACATAATCATCATCATGCAATACTAGAAGCTACCGCATCCTAAGGATGTGAGTTCTAAGAAGTTCCCAAAAGAAAAGCGTTTTGACAACACAATTTCTTATTAACAGTAGGGGCCTACACACCAGCCATTCACAGGCTACAGAATCTTCCCCAGTATCTACCAATGAAAGCACACTGTATAACCTCACAGAGTCCTCCTAATATTTATGTATTTAGGTTTCTTGAGAAAATGTCTCACTGTTAGCTCAAGCAGGACAGAAACAATATAGCCCAAGCTGACCTGGAATTTATGTTAATCCTTATGCCCCAACCTGAGTGCTAGGATTCTGGGCTTTGCACCAATACCTCTGACTTCTAAATTCCATCTTGACATTACTTCACCCTAAGCATTTTAACTAAAATAAAATATATAGCAAACTTATTCCCTTTCATTTTTTACCAAGATATTAATTTATTTATTGAGACAGGGTCTCTATGTAGCCCTGGTTGTCCTGGAGCTTACTATATAGACCAGGCTAGTCTCTAACTCAGAGATCTTCTTGCCTCTGCCTCCAGAATGGGCTACCACTATTTTAATTTTTTATGTACGTGTGTGTGTGTGTGTGTGTGTATGTGTGTGTTGTGTACCACATGCAAGCCTGCTGATGCTGGAAACCATAAGAAGTCATAGGATCCCTTTGAACTGAAGTTTAGGCAATTGTGAGCTACCGAGACCAAACCTGTGTCCTCTGTAAGAACAAGTGCTTTTACCCAATGAGCCTAGTTTTATTTATGTCTGAGTATGTGGTTATGCACATGTGACTGCAGGTGTCCTTGGAGACCAGAAGTGTTAAGATGCCTGTGAAGCTGGAATTACAGGCAGTAGAGAGCCACTCAGCATGAGTACTGAGAACTGAACTCAGATCCTCTGCAAGAGCAGTAAGTTATTCTAAACCATTGGTCCTCTCATATCAGTTCTCTCTTTTTTTTTTTTTTGAGACAGGGTTTCTCTGTAGCTTTAGAGACTGTCCTGCAATTCACTCTGTGACTTCAAACTCACAGAGATCCACCTGCCTCTGCCTCCCAAGTGTTGGGATTAAAGGTGTGCGCCACCATTGCTTGGCTCCCTTTTCTTTTTTCTTTTTTTTTGTTGTTGTTGTTTTGTTTTTGTTTTTCAGACAAGGTTTCTCTGTATTGTTTTGGAGGCTGGCCTCAAACTCGTTCTGTAGACCAGGCTGGCCTCGAACTCACAGAGATCCTCCTGCCTCTGCCGCCTGAGTGCTGGGATTAAAGGCGTGCGCCCCCAATGCCCAGCTCCTTTTCTTTTTTAAAACAAACGCGTTCCTATTAATTTTCTCCTATGTTATTTGTTTAAAAATACTTAGAAAACAATAAAGCAAGTCAGGTGAAATGACAACAAGTAGTGATTTTGAATAAAAGCATACAAAACCTCTGTATTTTGTCTGGAGAAATGGCTCAGTGGTTAAGTAGCACTGGGTGCTCTTTCAGAGGACCCTCGTTCAATTTCCAGCCCCACAGGGCAGCTCATAACTACTGTAACTACAGTTCCAGGGGATCTGACACCTTCAATCCAATGCACACAAAAATAAATTTACATACAATTTTAAATCCCCCTCTTTTTTTTTTTTTTTTTTTTTTTTTTGGTTTTTCAAGACAGGGTTTCTCTGTATTGTTTTGGAGGCTGTCCCTGGCACTCACTTTGCAGACCAGGCTGGCCTCAAATTCACAGAGATCCTCCTGGCTCTGCCTCCCGAGTGCTGGGATTAAAGGCATGCACCAGCTGGGCATTGGTGGCGCACGCCTTTAATCCCAGCACTTGGGAGGCAGAGGCAGGCGGATCTCTGTGAGTTCGAGGCCAGCCTGGTCTACAAGAGCTAGTTCCAGGACAGCCTCCAAATCCAAAGCCACAGAGAAACCCTGTCTCGAAAAAAAACAAAACAAAACAAACAAACAAACAAAAAAAAGGCATGCACCACCAACACCTGGCTAAAATCTCTTTTTATCATTTCTGTAACTTTCCTCAGGATTGAAAAATTGTAATAAAACCCATAGTCATCAAAAAAAAATAGTTTTGCAGGTCATGGTAGTGAGAGACAGAGTTAGACAGATTCCCTGATAGACAGACAGACAGACAGAGGGGCCACAGGTAGGTAATAAAGGTGCCAAGTTGCCAAGATGGCCATCTCCTTTTCTTCACCCTTCAGACTTTTGTCTCCTACCAGCAGGCCCCCTGCTGATGGACTCACTCAACAAGTTCAAAGCCACATCAGAACAAGTCACACAGCAGTTGGAGACTAATCAACCATCCTATCTAATCTTCAAACTGACCAACTCCAAAGTGGGGAGGAAAACTCTTCAAAGGCTTTAAACCCCCCAGTCCTAAAGACCAGACTGGATTTTCAGCTGAGTGTCCCTTCTTCTTTGCCTGCAGCATGTGTTTTCTTACCCCCGTTAAATGCCTTTTTTCAACTGTCAATTCTGTCTATGCTGCTTGAGTTTTCTCCACTGCTCCCTGTCATGCTTCAGATTTTTTTTCTGTCTTGTTACTCTTTAACTGGCAGAGAAAACGAACCCAATCCAGACCACTTCAAGACCCCAGATTGTATAACTGGCACAGGTTTACACTTGCAGAACTTAGAAGGTGGAGACAGAAGGTTCAAGAGTTCCAAGGCAAATTGCAGCTACAACAGGCAAACACCTTAAATCTCATAGGTGGGAGGCTGGGACAGGCCCATCTCTGTGGGTTCAGGCAAGCCAGGGCTATGGTGAGACCCTATCTCAAAAGTTACTAATAGAAGCCTCTCACCGGGATGCTTCTGGTTACAGTTTTCATATCTACCTAAGGTGAGCACTAAGTAGTTTAGTTTGTTCCTGTCTGTTTGGGAAGGGCCACTCTGCAGCCCAAGGCTGGGCTAGAACTTATTCTAGTCTAGGCTGGTCTCAAACTTGTGGTTAATCCTTCTGCCTCAGGCTCCCAGGTGCTGAAATTCCAGGTGTGAACTACCCAACTCACCAAGCTATGTTTCTAATTTTAATGAGTAAATTGATTTCAACAAATGAAAGCAGAGTATTTAGTACATTTTTTAGACAGGCACAAATAAAGAGAAAATATAGAAGAAAATAAAATAGCAATGTTCTGAGCAGATTTTTACTTAGGGATATCTGCACTGAAGCATAACTTCCATTTTTTCTCAAACAGCAATAATCTTTCAACTGAGTACAAAACAGTTTTCCAACTTCAAACGTAGACAGGCAATTTGAAACACAGTAAGGTGCTATAAAATTGGTTTGGAATTGTTGGCTTTGTGAAAACAATTTTGGAATAAGAAATAAGTAAAAGCACGCAGGAGAACCTTGATATAATATGCATATTAGATAGCACCCTTGTGGTGTTGGTCCTCGGTTTACCACTTAAAGAGAGACAGAGGAGGGTGTCAGATGGTGGCAAGTACCTGGAACCCAGAACTGAGGTGAAGGCAGGAGGAGGCTAAGAATTAAAGGTGGGGGGGTGGTCTGTCGGGTGGCACAGGCTTTCAATCCTGGTGGGAGGCAAAGGCAGGTGGGTCTCTGAGGCCAGCCTGGTCTTGAGTGTGAGTTCCAGGACAAACAACCAGGGTTACACAGAGAAACCCTGTCTGGAAACAAACAACAACAACAAAGAATTAAAGGACATCCTTTTCCAAACATAGACAGTTCCAGATTCTAGGTCAATCTGAGCTATATGAAACCCTACCTCAAAAAAAAAAAGAGTGAGGGGTTGTTTCATAACAGACCACAGATCATTTGAAGACTGGCAAAGACCCACCCACTAAGAGGATTAATCTCACCAGTTTAGATCCCTATACACATAAAAAGTCAGACAGGGTGACATTTGTCTATGACTCTAGCACTGGGGAAGCAGAAATGACAGGCCCCTAGAGCTTCCTGACTGGCCAGCCTAGCCTAGTTGATGAAGATAGAATTTAGTGAGAGACCTACTCCCAGAAAGGGATAAGGAGTGAGTGACCGAGGAGGAGCACACACTTACACCTGCACACACAAGATTGGGGAGCTGAGGGCCATCAGTGGTAGAGCACAAGCTTAGTGTACCTGAAGCAGTGAGTACAATCCCCATCATCAAAAAGGAAAGAGTAAATGCACCACTGAGTTAACAATGGACAAAACAGCATTTGTGCTGAAAGACTAGTAATGAACAAACCCGTCTACAGAAACAGGCAAGTCACTTCATCTCAAGGGACACTTCATTTCAATAAAATAAGCAGAGTCCTGCCTCAGGATCACTGTGGGGAGGTGGCTTACAACAGAATATGGCACTAGAGGGTCATGCAGCTCATTTATACCCTCTGTTACCAGTGAATAAGTAAGGGTTTCATTTTTCATTGGCTTGCTTGCCTGCTTGCTTGTTTTTGAGACAATGTCCCACCTTATAATTCAGACTAGCCTGGAACTAGTCCATTAGTCTAGGTGAGGCTCAAACTGCTGGAAATCCTCCTGCCTCAAATTCCTGAATGCTGGAATTACAGGCATGGGTTACTGTACCAGTTAGGGATTTTATAAATACCACAATAAGCAGACTTTTTTTTCTAGAAAAGATTGAGGACAAGGCAAGAATAAATAAATACAAACATAGCATTAAGTGTGTGCTGACTAGAAAAAAAACTTTCTGAAAATAATAAAATGCTAGAAGAAATTACTTCAGGTTGCCTTCTTGTCACTGAAGATTTATAAGAAAATAGGGTGAGTTTCATCTACCTGGGATGATTTAGGTGGGATATTGACTGAAGTTGCAGGGTAAACCCAAGGTCCTTTCAAGGTCTCTTCCCGTCCAAAGACTCTAAGATTAACCAGAAAAAAAATTAATTATGTACAATCTACTCATTCAAACCTAAAAATATTATAAATAAGTTTTATTCTTAGCAAATAAGATAATAACCAAACTAAAAGTTACATTCCATGGACAGCTGGGTGTGGTCGCCAGTGCCCATAGTCCTAGCACTCAAACAGGAAGCAGGAGGACTGCACAACTTTAAGGTTACACTAGACTACACAGTTGGTTTCAGCAGGCTAGGCTGCAGTGTGAGGTTGTATCTCAAAACAAAAACAGAAAACTAGAGACAGCCAGGTGTGGTAGAGCTCACCCTTACTTCCAGCACAGGAGAGGCAGAAGGTGGGTCTCCATGAGTTCACACCAGCCTGGTCTATCTAGTAAGTTCCAGGCCAGCCAGGGATACACAGTGAGACCCTGTTTCAAAACAAAACATTTCTACTTGATGAACAAAAGAAAAGGCAGCTTAAATTTAACATTGGAGTCCTTAATAAGAAATGGTGTCTGTATTAAAAGATCAGCAGGCATAGTGGCCCACCTCTTTAACTCCAGCATAATGGAAACAGACAGAGGCTGATCTCTGTGAGTTAAAGGCTAGCCTGGAGGATATAGCATGTTCCAGACCAGCCAGGGCTACATAGTGAGACCAGTGTCTCATAAGCAGAAAAGATCAAGGCCAGCGGTGGTGGTGCACGCCTTTAATCCCAACACTCAGGAGGAACAGGCAGGTGGATCTCTGTGAGTTCCAGGCCACCCTGATCTATAAAATGAGTTCCAGAACAGTCAAAGCTGTTACACAGAGAAACCCTGTCTCAAAACAAACAAAAACAAAACGAAACAAAAAAAACAGAAAAGATCACCCATTTTCATTCAGTTTTAGACATATGAACTGAAGGCTGAAAGTGTGGCTCCTTGGTAAGAATATTTGCCCAGCATATGTGATGTTCTGGAGTTCACTACTAACACACAGTAACAAACTGAAAGGAAGCAGGGTGAAGGAAGGAAAAAAGAAAAAGGGAGAGAGATCAATGTGAAACAACCATTTATAACAACAAAAGTGTTGTAGCACACTACAGCAGTGTAACAGAAACAAAACAAAGATGCAAACAAACTTCTTTTAACTGAGCTTGTAGTTTGTATTTTCAGACAAACAGGTAAGTAGATCACCTTTTGACAACTGCATCATAAAAATGGCAATGCCTTAAAAAGAGTACAGTCAGCCCAAACACAGCTACGGTGGCTTGTGCACATACCTTGAACCCAGAGTTCAGATTCTAAATTATCCAAGTATGCATGTGTATTTATGTGATGATTCTGATATCCACACATCAAAAGCAAACTTTGCTAATCCTTATTAATGTCAGAAACTTAAGGTTTGCTACTTATGTCAACATCCACCAAATAAAAGCAATCCAAAATCAGACAACTTTGGACAAGAGGGGGAAACTTTCTGTCTTAGAGACAGTGCTAATCCCAGAGAGTGGGTATTTGCCTTTCCTTATGTTTGTTTCAGACAGAACCTCATGTAGCCCAGGCTGGCCCTATACTCACTCATGGCCCTTCTACCTTGGGAGTGCTAGAATGATAGGCATGTACTACCATACAGTTGTAGGGATCAAACCCAGGCCTTCGTGAATGCCAGGCAAGCACTCTACTAGCTGAGCTGCATCCCCAGTCACTAGAATAGGGGTTGTTGAGGTTTGCTGTCTAGCTTTCAGTGCTGAGGCTCCACATGCTAGACAAGTGCTCCATCATCTGCAACACTTGCAACCTCTACAGGACTTCAAGGGGAAAAGGTATCATCGTGTATCTGAATGTACACCCATGAAATAATTTCAAGACTAGGAAGATGGCTCAGTGGTTAAGAGCACTGGCTGATCTTTCCAGAAGACCCAGGTTAGATTCCCAGAACCCACATACAGCTCCCAACTGTCTGTAACACCAGTTCCTGGGGATCTGATTACCTCTTGGGCAGTGCCTCTCTGCAGGCACAAGGCATGCATGTGGCATACAGACATGCATGCATGCAAACAAAGCACCCATACACATAAGACTAAAATAAATTAAAAATCCTCAACAACAGTTTGCATCCTGAATGGGGATTATACATTACCTTTCACGTGATTAAATGCAAGGTAAAATACTCAATAGTCTTAGCTAAATGTAAACACTTTAGAATGAAAATCACTAAAACATACTACCAAGAAAGAATAACCTAAATTTTGTTCCAAATTCTAACCTTCCATTTAATCCCCAAAATGGCCTCATAGGGCCAGGGAGCTGGCTTGCTGCCAAGTCTGACAATCTGAGTTCAATCCCCGTACCTCCATGATGGAGAGAAAAAACCAACTTCTGCAAGTTGTCTCCCACCTCCACATGTGCTCCACACACATACAAATAAACACATTCAAACATTTCAGTTAAAAATAAGTCTTGAGCCGGGCGGTGGTGGCGCACGCTTTTAATCCCAGCACTCGAGAGGCAGAGGCAGGCGGATCTCTGTGAGTTCGAGGCCGGGCTGGACCGACAGCCTCCAAAACAATACAGAGAAACCCTTTCTCGTAAAAACCAAAAAAACAAAAACAAAAAAAAATAAGTCTTACCAATCAAAAGGTTCTAGAGAGTATTAATATGTCCTTCCTAGTCACAATCATGAAATAAAGCAGGCAATCTTCCAGATTGTTTTCATAAAAGGTACTCATAAATGCACTGTGCAATCTAAAAGGTGAGTCCATGGCTCTACAGTCCAACATTCTTCTTTGCAGTCTGCAAAACGGGGAGTAAGTAACTACACAAAAATGCTCCCACACAAAGCTGAGAGCTTGGGAACGCAATGCCCTCAGAGCCTTGACTTCAATCTCCCCTCAAGAAACTTCCCTGGTTGGCTATTCACCTTTCTCTGGATGGCTTCTCCTTATTCTTCAGTCCATGAAAACAACGAAGCAGAAACCTGGCTGATTAATGAAAAACAAAAAGAGTCTTATCTTTCTCCAACCCAGTGGAGCACTCCAACTCGTCAATGGAAAGAAAATGCTGTCCATTAGACACCCTGCCCAGAACTTGACAGGTACAAAAACTCCCACGCCACCCATGCAAACTATCACAGCACACAGGCACTTAGAAAATAAACACAACTCTTACCCTTTAGCACATCAGTGAAATCAAAGGTTTCTAGGCACCTAATGCTGCCACTTTTTCTATTACACAAGGACAGAATCAAGTAAAAATGGGTCTCATCTTTTCAAAGTGGACATGAAAGTGGATTTTCAAGCAATGAAAGATGGAAACTGGATGCAAGACTCCTTGAAGAGAGAAGAAGGTTTCTGGAATTTCCTACTTTTAGGGACAAAAGAACTCACAAAGTCAGTACACATTTCTCTTAACAAAGAACTCCTCTGCTGCACCCCCACCTGGGCCCCTACTTTGCAGGTTTCACCCCTGTTTCTAGGGCCCCTTTCACTCACCATGGTTCCTTCTCTTGTGCATCAAAGGCCTCCACACTGGATGCTCCACTACAGCATTTGTGCCCTGCCCCTTCCAGACCTTCTGGGCACCTCAGGGCAAGCCGCACATTCGGTTCCCACTCCTGAGCGGCCACCACGGTTCTACACCCATCGGGACTCTCCCAGCTTCCCTTCCCTGCCTCCCCATTCCATCCTTCAAATTGCAGGGCCCACCTCTTCCTTGCTCATCTCCTCAGGCTGCTTTTCAGTCAGTCTCTGCTCTCCACTATCTTTCCCTTGCTGAACCTCTTCACTAAACAATTCCCCAGCCTCCCTGTCCGCGAGCACTGTAATTCCTGACACCCCCTTCTAGCGTCCTTTCAGCTTTTTCTTTTTCTCCCAGGACTGTCCTATTAACGCCCAGCTCTCAGCTCGCTTTCCTCCAGTCTTTCACAAATGCTCCAATTTCTGACTCCACCTGGTTGCAATCCAGGTCTCCTTCTGTCTCCCTCACTCTGCAGAATTTACACCCATCACCCAGCTATTGACCTCCACCTTGCGGATCCCACCCCAGCGGATCCCAGCCCATCAGCTCAGCCCTGGCTCGGCACTAGTTCACACCCTTGTCACGTCTGGCTCTTAATCACTCTCTCCTACTCCCAACTATTACGCGGTTCTGCTCCTTGTCTTCCGTTTGCAACTCTTCTGCCCCTGGTACCCCTCACCCCAACACCACCCACCTGCCAAGCCTTGCCTCTTCCAGACCCCTGCTCCTAGCCCTGACCCCGGATCCCTCTTCCCAGCCCCGGGCTCCCTAACCTCATCCCGGGGCCAGCCCGGGCTTCCTTTTCACTCCTCTTGAACCCTTCTAACCCGTCCTCCTAATGCTCAACTCAAACTCAGCGACCGCTCCCCCCGCAGTCTGCCTTCCCCTCTCCCCTCAAGGCTTTCACCTCAGAGCCCAGACGTCGCCCACCCCGCCAAAACGCGCAACGCCCGCGCGCCGGGGCTCGCGCCTTCGCTGTCGCCGCCCGCCGTCCCCGCCCCGGGCGCCCCAGGCCCGCCGGCGTCGCGGTCCCGCCCCCTGCCGCCGCTCCTCCCGCCCGCCAGGCGCGCGCCGCCTTTGTCGCCCCTCACCCGGTGTGTGAGGGGATTTTTTTTTTCTCCTTTAAAAGGGGAGGGCCGGCATGCCGGGGCCGGGCGACCCGCCTCCGAATGTCGGCGCGGGTTCCCGGCCACCGCGGCCCCCCACGCCCCCCGGGCCGCCCCCTCGGCCGCTCCGCCGGCCCTCCGCCCCCTCCCCAAGCCCCCCCTCTATTTACCGCCATCATCAGCACGCGCGAGCTGTCACCAGGGCGAAGAGACCAGCGAGCAGACCACGCCCCCTGCAGCCCATTGGTCCTCCGGCCGGAGCCCCGCCTCCAGGGCCCCGCATTGCGCCAACGGCGCGCCTCCCGGCCGCGACCCCTGGCCTCCGCGCCCTCTCCGCGGGTTCGCGCCGCGGGCACCAAGTTTCGGGTCAGCCGCGACCGCGCGGCCGACGGCCAGCCGGTGTGAGAGGGCAGGCGCGGAGTAGCGCGGGAGAGTCGCCGGCAAAGTTTGGTTGAGCCACAAGAGGATACAGAAGATTTCTAGACAAAGAGACTCTTAAAGGTGCAGAGTCTAGTGTCTGGCCCTCCTCCTTAAAGGGCCAGGCTCTCTCCCTTGCACCACCCCCCTTCTTCCCCGGGATTCGTAAAGGAATTCTGCACGAGTTGCGCTTACTCTGAGGCTTACCTTTAATGTCTCACCGCTTCAAAGAGGCCTTTTCCACTCCTGCTTGTTTTGGGGGTTTGTTATATTCTCTACGGTGCAGCGGCAGCCAGCGAACCATGGAGTTTCCCGAGGCAGCGTTTGCAAAAGTTACTCTTGGCGCCCAGACAAGCACACACGTGTGGACTTTTGCCACTGATGACCCAAGCGGGATTCAGCTGTTCTATGAAAATCCTCTTCAATGGGAGGATTTTGATCGTTGCCCCCAAATGGGGACTGGGAAATAAATCAGACCGAGGGAAGAGTGGACCTAAGGACTTCCGAGAAGGATGAAGTCCACACTGAAACAGAAAGGAAAGACTCCCTTGCAAGGTAAGCAAGCTTCGTGGGCACATTGTCCTCACAGACCTTGCGGGGAAGGATTCCTCCAAATAAAACAGGGTTACAACACCCAAGACAAGGCCAAGGCGGGTAAAGACATTTTTAGTTTAAGAAAAACAAAAAAATAAAAATAAATTATTTATTATATACTACAGTGGTTCAAGGCTTTGCGTCTGTAAATATGAAATAAGGAAGCAAAAATGGCAAAGATTAAAAAATAAAGACGATCCGGACGTTGGTGGCACATGCCTTTAATCCCAGCACTCGGGAGGCAGAGGTGGGTGGATCTCAGTGAGTTTGAGGCCAGCCTGGTCTACAGAGTGAGTTCCAGCACAGCCTCCAAGGCCACAGAAAAACCCTGTCTCGAAAAACAGATACAAAACAACAACAACAAAATAATAACCCTGAACATGGTAATCAAAGCAATCAGGAGGCAGAGACAGGAAGATGGCATTAAGTTCTTAAGACTCTATAGGCGCGTGGTGATTCCGGGATTTTTAGGTAACAAGACCCTGCCTCTAATGTACATAGGAGGAGAGCCCCTCCTGGGAGAGGACTGGGGCCAGGTTCAGGTCCCATGGTGGAGGCATGTTAACAGCTCTTTATGGAATTCTAAATTGTAGCTCCTTAAGTGACTGTAATAATAAAAATGTTACAGCTGCTTTTCCCAGTTCCCAACAGCTTTCTTGGAGAAGGCGGCTAAGTATCTTACTCAGGGTTCCTGACAAGGTGCTTTCCTGAGTGAGGGATCTGGAAGCCACTCAGATCCCTGTAAGGAAGTTTCGTGGTGCTCAGAATAGCTAGGAGGAAACAGCCCCACCACTGTGAGCACACGTACACCTGCGGTTCCTGAAGTCTGTGCTACCAGGGGCGTGCACGGGATCTGAAGAGCCTTTCAGAGGCTCTCTGAGACCCAAACCAGTTTTAAGATAGCACTGGAAGTACTGGGTCTCTGCTGTGGGATGTCACTTGCCCTGATACTAAAGGACTAGGGACAAGCATGACGGCTCAGTGGGTAAATGCACTTGCTGCTAAGCCTGTCTTTCCCGTCCCATCCCCTGGGTGCACATAGAAGAAGAGGACAGGCTCCTGCAAGCTGACCTCTGACCTCACACGATGAACACAACACACACACCACACACACACCCACTCACACCACATGAACCCACACACACCCACACGACAGACACACACACTCACACCACACACACACTCACACCACACACACACTCACATCACGTGAACCCCCCACACACACACACACGACAGACACACACAGGATCTAAGGTTAATGCCGGCAAGATGGCTCAGCCTATGCAGCACTTACCAAGCCTGACAACCTGGATTTGATTCAGGGACTGCTCAGAGGAGAACTAATTCCCAGACATTGTCCTCTCCCAGCCACATGCGTGTGCCTAGTATTACAGCTATCTGTCTCCCCGTCAGCTAGCCCCTAAGCCAACATTCTCATCCCTTGACTGGAACCCAGCACACCTGTCACAACCCCAGCCTTGTCTTTCCTACACACCAAAAGACTGCCACTGTTAAATTCAGCTCCAGCACAATCCACACATTGTAAGCACACTCTGCACATTTTCCTTTTGAGGTACTTAGTGTGTGTGTGCATGCACACACGAGTGTGCATATTAGGGGGAAAAGCACACACCGCATGGTACACCCACACCTGGTGAACAGCCAACTCCAGTTCTCTTCCCACCTCACTTGGACTGAGCCCCAACACTTGGCTGGAGTGCAAGAACCTTTACCTGCCAAGCCACCTTGCAGGCCTTGAATTCTCTCACTTTTGATTTCTGAAGACAGTGTCTATGTAGTCCTGACCATGCTGGCACTCACTACGTATACCAGACTGGCCTCAAACTCCTGTCTCTACCTCCTGAGTGCTGGGATTAAAGGTGTGCTGGGCTAAAGTCTCTTTAATGGACTCCAAAGAAAGTTCAGTATAATTTAACCCTTAAAAATGAGCCTATATGCAGGTAGAGAGATGGCTCAGAGTGTGTGCACTTCTCTTCTAGAGGAACCCAATTCAGTTCCCAGCATCCATGTCAAAAGGCTCACAACTGTTTATAATTCCAGTTCCAGGGGATCCAGTGACCCCTTCTGGCTTCCTCAAGCATTACACTTACATCCACACAACCACACACACACACACACACACATACACACACTTTTTAAAATATTTTAAAGTTAGCCTTGCTATGTGATAGGGCCTGGGTGACTAAGCTGGAAAATGAAACAATGCGAGAAAATCAAGAATCTTTGCTTTGGAACTGAGGAGACAGCTCAGTCAGTGAAGTGCTTGCCCGGCGCATGAGCACCCAAGTTCAAGTCCCAGAACCCAGGTGAAGAGGCAAGTGCAGAGGACTCTCTGTGGAATCTCAGCAGACCTCTGAGGCTTGCTGGCCACCAGCCTGGCTGAATCATAGCCTCAGGTTCTAGAATGTATAAAATGATAATCATTCCCCCTTCCCCTTAAGTTTATACAAATAATCCTAACGTTCACACAACTTGAACCTTCAGGAAGTTATGTAATGACAACTGTGACCTACAGTATTCTAAGGAGTCCCATCCAGACTGGCACATGAAAGCCAGATGACACACCAGCCTTCTCAGCAGTCACAGTCCAGTCTGCCGCCTCTGCCAGCAGAGCCATTATCAGGTGTTGTGTTAGCCAGATTCCTTCAGTGTGGTTTCCATTAACTGACAAGGATGAAGCAAAGTACCCATGTAGCAGTTCTTCAAGCTTGATCTCATGTCACTAGGTTTAAAGCCAGCCAAGTGTGAGCTGCTCAAATGGAGAAGAAGCAAATGTAGGGACTGAAGAGACAGCCTAGTAGTTAAGAGCACTTGCTGCTCTTACAGAAGGTCTGATTAAGTTCCCAGCACCTACATCTGCCTGTGACACCATATCCAGGAAATCTGATGCCCTCTTCTGGCCCCCAGGGACACTGCATGCATACACACAAAATCTTAAAAAAAAAAAAAAAAGACCAAAACACTAAAATGCAGAATACAGAAATGTGCAAGCAAGCCAACTACAACTAACAAGATGCTGGCTGTGTGCTTCTCTTTATCTCTTAGAAGCTGAAGCGCCTCTTATGTGGGAGCCTAGAGTGTTTGTTTACCGCATTTAACTTCTGTGTTTTCAGGGGTATGTATGTTCAAAACTCTGCCTGCACACTGTCTCATCCACAAAAGATTTGAGACAACCTATAAAGAGTATAAAGTAGATACACTGCAGCAAGATCAAATATGGAACAGAAGGCCAAAATGTTCATATTTGTAGATTTTATTGTGACACCTAAGACACACCTAAATTTTAAAGTGCAAAAATAAACACTAAAACAAAAGCAAAGGGAAGCAACAGTGAACAATGTGGACAACAGACCCTGCTGCAGCCAGGCAGGTATGCTGAGCTTTTCCTGCCAGCCAAAGCAGCACCTCACAGCTGCTGTAGGAACATGCTCTGGAGCGTCTGCTTGGCTGTCCTCAGAGGATAGCGTCCTTGGTGACACACCTCACTTTGTATATTAGCAATTTTCCCAATCCTATCTGTGTGCATCTCAAATGGTAGCCTGGTTCACTGTTTCCGGAGCAGGTGTGAGGCAGGTAAGCAATGGTATCAGTGAAAAGTGTGACAAGAAGACCGTCAACAAACAAGTGTTGAGTCAGGAAAGCATGCCCGCAGTGATGTGAGCAACCGTCTCTCTGCTCAGTGGACTGTGAACGTGGAGTCAACAAGTGTGCTTACATCCTGTGGTAAGAAAAACATTGGGGCGACCAAACATTAAGACATAAGGAGCCTGTTCGTGCTAACCCAAGAGTTAATTCTGCCCTGGGGAACTGACTGCCTCTGAACTATTAGGTAAGTAATAAAATCTGCAGTAAGAGCCCCGTGATTTGGCTTTGCTACAGTTTAGCCTATGGGTTCACACAATTCAAACCAGAAAGGGAAACTTTCAGAGTCCAAAGGATGAAAGCAACACTCTCACTGACTTGGTTCTCAAATTACTGCAGCCAACAGGCTAGAAATCAAGAGCAATCCAGTCATGTCACCCAACCATCTCTAGAAGAGGCCAGCCACATCCTCAAACTAAAGGGGGCCCCACCCAGCACAGCCACACTGCACAATGTGGCCTATACCAAACCCTCAGGAGCTGGGGACACATACTGTTTTTACCTTCAGTGCTGGCAGAGACAACCCTGTCCCACGTTTACCCTACAGCAGGAAAGCCCAAGCTTCTCCATTCTTAACAATTACCATTCTTGAGGACAAGCCAAGTCCAGTTAAGGCATGAAGTAAAAAACAGCTGTGATGGGGTCAGGAGGGGAGTCCAGAGTTCCAGAACATAAGCTACAGCTGGTAACCAGCTGGGGCCAGAGGCCCAGGACCCTGAGTACAGCACCTGTTCCTCCTGGCAGTACCCTGGTGTCAGCTCAGAAGGTGGGCAGCTGCCAGTCACTAACGAATCCCAGCCACTGGCACTTGCTGCTGTTTTCGGATCTTGTTGAAGAGTTCCATGTACTGTATCATGGTATCTGCTGGCCCATACACAGCATCGTGTCTATTCCCAAACACTGGGGGGGCCCCTGGTGTGTGGCTACCAAGAAAACTCTGTAGGAACTCCAGCAGGAGGCTCCAGCAGTCACTAGCCACCACACAAGGGCCATACTCCACCTGGGACACAAGAACAGACAGCAAGGGTAAGGACAAGGATGAGGCTTGTGTCTCTCTTCTCTCCCGCCTCCTGCCACTGCTATCACTGAAAGTCACAACTGAAAAGATTTAGAGAATCTTGGCCCTGGAGGTTCCTTAAAAAAACAAACCCGCCATTAGGTCCTTTTCTGAGCTCCCCAGACTCACTTTCCTCTTTTTACTTTGTGGCAGGATCTAACCGTGCAGCTCAAGCTGGCCTCAAACTCAGAATCCTCTGGCCTCTACCTCATAAGTGCTGAGACAGGAGGCATGCACCAGCTCTCCCAGCCTTGGAGCTCCTTACTCTATACATTGCTTTACAGGAATGTCACAACTACAGTCAGGTCCCTCGACAGCCAAATGCCTTTCACAGCACTTTTTCTTTCTTTCTTTCTTTCTTTCCTTCTTCTTCTTCTTTTTTTTTTTTTTTTTTTTTTTTTTTTTTGCTTGAGACAGGATTTCCCTGTGTGGCTTTGGAACCTGTCCTGGAACTAGCTCTTGTAGACCAGGTTGGAACTCACAGAGATCCGCCTGCCTCCTGACTGCTGGAACTAAAGGCGTGCGCCACCACTGCCCGTGTGACACCACCGGCCAGCTTTTCTTCCTTTCAGAGCATTTCTCTTTCTTTTCTTCTTCTTCTTTTTTTTTTTTTTTTTTTTTTGTTGTTGTTTTCGAGACAGGGTTTCTCTGTGCAGCCCTGGTTGTCCTGGAACTTGCTCTGTAGAGCAGGCTAGCCTGGAACTCAAGGGACTCATCAGTCTCTACCTCCTGAGTGTTGGGATTAAGGGCATGCCACCACTGCCTGGCTGCTATTTCTAAACTAGCTTCTAAAAAGTGTGTTTCAGCTTTGCTTGCTTACTAAATGATGCATTTCAAAAGATAGGCCCTGCAAGCTTATGTCTGTTTTATCTTGTTTTTTAAATCTCAGCTAATCTAGACACAGGATAGGCTAAAGCTATCTACCACCACATTCCCCATACACCACCTTCAATCCATACATATTTAGGTTCAAAGATGGAAGCTATCAGTCAATAAAGATGCTTGCCACCAAACCTGATAACCTGAGTTCAATCCCCAGGGCCCTCATGGTAGGAAGAAAGAACTGATTGCTCTGATATCCACACATGTGCTGTGCATACATACACCTACACCCATAGTAAATAAATGTAGCATTTTTTTTGACTAACAACTAGATGAAGGCATCTCATCTGCATATTGTTTTCCACCATGAAAATTGGCAAATGCTAAAAAGAAAGTATAGTTTTGTTCCACAGCTCTGAAGGCCTCTCCTAAGACATACTAAGAAGGGGGATACAGGCACATGACTGACATCCCTTCTTGGGAAGGGTGGTTGGTGTCTCTATCATTACTCCCCTGCTTTCCTGGACTACACCTGCCGCTTTCCAGCAGGTAAGCCTCTCTAAGCTTCTGACTTGATGTGAACCCTCCAGTCCTAAGCCAGAGGCTGAGCGGCTAAAGAAAAGATAAAAACCCTAGAGAGGTGCTGGAGAGATGCTCAGCAGTTAAATCACTTGTTGCTCTTGGGACTGGGGTTGGTTCCTAGCACCCACATGGTGACTAACAACTTTAAAAAGTCTTTGACTCCAATTCCAGGGCATCAATCAAATGTCCTCTTCTGGTTTCTGTGTGCACTGCACACATGTGGTACACAGACATACACACAGGCAAAACATCCATACCCACAAAAAATAAATCTAAAAGCTTTCTTAGAGAAACAAGCATGGTGGCTCACTCCTATAATCCCAGCACTTTGTAGGCTGAGATAGAAGGGTTACATGAATTCATGACCAGGCTAGACCAAGACTCCTCTCTCTCAGACCTGCTCTGCGTCTTCAGCACCACAAAAACAGGCATGGTGAAATACACCTGTAATCCTAGCACTCAGGAGGTGAAGCCAAATGAGGCTGGCTTAAATAAATAAACAACATAAGTAAGAGGCTGGACATAGTGGTACACTCCACAATTTCAAGTGCTTGTGGGTAGAAACAGGAGGACCATAAATTTACCATCATTGGCTACACAGTAAATTCAAGGCCTGAGACATGAGTCTGCCCCCCTTCACCCCCACGCCACACAAAAGAACCCTGTAGTAGAGGCAGGAGAGATACTGACTAGGGTGGGGAAAATTCCAGAATCCTTACTGTGCAGCCCATAGCATATTCTGCTTGTCCTTCACCAAGGTCTTACCTCCACAGAGATGCCACGGGCACTGGGCCCCATTGTGACTGTGCCCACCTTCACCAGGAAGTCACAGTACTGGTACCGAGGACCCCGGGTCTCAATCTTGCTGGCCTTGGCACTCTGGAAAAAGCCCTTGAGCTTTACCATGAGCACATCGAAGTTGGTGTCAGCAATAAGGCAAGGCCCATTCTCAAAGAGGGCAAAGCAGCTCAGGGGGTACTCGGAGTTATGCATCACGTACATCAGCTTCCCAGCCTGGCCTGCAAGGGACAGACGGCCCACTCAAGGTCAGGACGTTAGTCAACACACCCCAGGATAGGTCAAGTGCAGCAAACAAGACCAGCTGGCAGTTGGTACCCTGGCATTCTGACAAGGGAAAGGATCCTCAAATGCTATCCTTCTCCAGAGAAGCCAGGCATCACACAAACAGGCTAAGCACACCTGAAGAGCACCAGGGGATGCTCGGTGTTGAGAACAGGTGTGTGGTGAGTTCACAGGTGGCTACTTTATCATAATGATTAGTAATCCATACAGAGACTCTGTTCTACCTCATCATCTGTAATAAATAAAACTAAGGGCTGGTGGTGTTGCTTGGCAATAGGTACTGGTCTAGCCCTAAGTTGCAGCCCCAAAACCTCAAATATAAAAGTAAAACAGAAGCAACAAATCTGTTATATCTCTTTGGACCTCAGCTAATGCCTCCTTTGACATCAAAATGCTTTCACGGAAGCTTTGGAACAGGGAGCCTGTGAACATTACACAAGCACTAAGGCCACAACTAAGCTGAGCTAAGTTTTTCTGCTATGCCTTAAAAAGCTAGCAGTTGTTTGCAAATATTAGTGGACCACTAGGAAAGCAAGTATACCATGAAGGAACTTGGGCTCTAGGACCTGAAGCTGTGCTTCCATCTGTCAAATGTACTTAGGATGTACTATTGTTCTACTTGGTTAGATTTGGTTTGGCTTTTTCTTTTCTAAGTTTATTTTTATTTTATGCTCACTGGTGATTTGCCTTCATGTGTGTGGTATGGGGTGTGGAATCGTGGAATCACAGACGAGTGTGAGCTGCCATGTGGGTGCCAGGTTGTGGGTTTCTCCCTGCTTATCTCCTGCTTCTGCCCAGTTACCTCACTTCCGCCAGTCTGTACAGACCTCTATGGTTAGCTAGTAGCAAGCGCCATTCTCTGATCTTCAGACAAGCTTTATTTGTACAAGCAAGATATCACCAAACCAGGTCCTCTGGAAGAGCAGCCAATGCTCTTAATGGCTGAACCATCTCTCCAGCTACCCCCTCCCTTTTCTTTTTTTTGTTTTTAGAGACAGGGTTTATCTGCGTGGCCCTGGCTGTCCTTGAACCCCTGGAACTCACTTTGTAGACCAGGCTGGCCTTGAACTCACAGATTCCCCTGCCTCTGCCTCTCAATTGCTGGAATTAAAGACATGCATCACCACCACTTAGCTTGGTTTGTTTTTTTTAAACAGGGTCTTGCTACATAACCCAGAAAAACCTGGAATGTGACTGCAACTTTAATGCTGGAATTACAAGAGTTTGCTACCAAAGCTGGCTTGATTTCCTTGTCACTTATTGGGTGGTGCCAGAGATAGATCCCAGAGTCTTGCACACGCTAAATTAATGCTCTCCACTGAACAGCCCAGCCCACTCACTGACTCTACTGGTTTTCTAGACCCCTTTTCTTCAAAGGCAGGGTATTAATATTAACTTTGTATCTCTGGATAGTCTGGAATCCACTCTGAAGACCAGGCTGACCTAAAACTCAGAGATCCACCTGCTTCCCAAGTGCTGGGATTAAAGGTGTGCCCCACCATGCCTGGCTTACACCTGACTTTTAAACTGGGTTCTAAGGATCCAAACTCAAATGCTCATGCTTGCAAGGTAAGAAGTTTACCAATGAGGTCATCTCTCTGCCCCCCAATTTATTTTTAAATTTAATTTATGTTGTGGGGCAGGGACACATGGCATGTGCATGATTCAGGAGGGCACTTGGGAGAATCTGTTGTCTCCTTCCACCATGTGGGTCCTGGGGATAAACTCAGTGTCAGACTCACAGGCAAACACTTTTACCTGCTACACTGTCTTGTCAAAACCCCCTCAAAAAAAAAAAAACTTTTTAAAAGAAGGTAAAGAGTCTACAACATAAAACAAAAGTGGTTCAAGCCTGTAATGCTAGCACTGGAGGGGCCGAGGTTGGGGCTGGGAAGAGCTACAAAAGGAACCCTGGTCTCTAAATAAACACACATTGTAGTTCATGTATACTCAGGAGGCCTAGGCGGTAGAATGGGCTACACAGAAAGACCCTGTCTCAAAAAGGCAATAGGGCTGGGAAGATAACTCAGTGAGAGCCTAAGTTCTACCCCAGCTCCCAAGTAAAAGCCTGGAAGGCTGCACATGCCTGTGACCACAGCACTGGGAGCAGAAACTGACGGATCCTGAGAGGTCAGTGGCCAGTTAGCTATGGAAAATGGAGAGCTTCCAGTTCAGTGAGAGGTCCTGTCTCAAGGCAATGCCACAGAAGAAACCACCCCACATCCAACACCCTTCTCTAGCCTTCACAGATGTGGGCACACACAAGCTCTTCTACCCACACTCAGGGGCTTGCCCACTGCCCCCCACACACACACCAAAATAAACACACACACACACACACACACACACACACACACACACACACACACACACACACACGAATGAATGATGAATGAATAAAAAGGGTCTGGTTAGACAGTCGATGGTGGCACAAGCCTTTAATCCCTGCACATGGGAGGCAGAGGCAGGAGGATCTCTGTGAGTTCGAGATTAGCCTGGTCTACAGAGGGAGTTCCAGAACAGCCTCCAAAACAATACAGAGAAACCCTGTCTCGAAAAATCAAAAAAAGGGGTGGGGAGGAGTCTGGTAATGATAGTCCTTGCCCAGCATGCACGAAGACCTGGGTTCTATTCCCAGTACCACATAAACTGGATGTGGTAATGTACACCTAAGATCCTAGCACTGGAGAAGTAGAAGCAGAAGGATGAGAAACAAGCTACAAAGCAAGTTCAAAGCTAGCCTGAGCTACAGAAAGCCTCATCTCAAAAACCTAACTAATTAACACAAAATAAAAATTTAGAGTGTGATTACCTGAAAGGGACCAGACATCTGAGACTTCAGCATAAGAAAAGATCAAAGGAAAAGCAAGACTTGAAGAAGGAAGTGGAGGAGTACTTCCACCCCATGGGGCAGGGAAGATGAGATTCTAGCAGGATTAAGAGTAACAAGAGGCAGTCGAGATGGCTCAGCAGTTCTGAGCACATACTGTTCTGTCAGAAGACTAGAGTTGAGATCTTACACCCACACTGGGCTGCCCATAAGTGCCTGTAACTTTAGCTCCAAGGGATCCTACACTCCCTGCTGGCCTCCATGGGCATCCAGCTACACAAATAAAACAAAGCTGGGTATAGTGGGGCACTTCTTTAATCTCAGCACTTGGGAAGCAGAGGTAGGTAGATCTCTGTGAGTTCAAGGCCACCCTGGCCTACATAGTGAATTCCAGAACATCGAGGGCTACATAGTGAGACCCTGTTACAAAAAAAACAAACAAATACAGTAAAATAAATCCTTTGTTTAAAAAGTTAGTGATGGGGGCTGGGGAGATGGCTCAGAGGTTAAGAGCACTGCCTGTTCTTCCAGAGGACCTGAGTTCAGTTTTCAGCAACCACATGGTGGCTCACTATCATCTATAATGGATCTGATATCTTCTTCTGGTGTGCAGGAATGCAAGCAGGTAGAACACTGTATATACAATAAATAAATAAATCTTTTGTTTTAAAGTTAGCGATGGATAGAGGGGAAAGATGGCAGGAGTTGGGGAGTTGGCTGCTTCCCTGTATTGCACTGGCCTCTCTGCTGCCACCTGCTGAATTTAGCAGGCTCTGCACCGAACCATCTATCTGCACTGCCAAGTCACACCTTTCATCTCTCTTAAAATTCAGTTAGTAAAAAAAAAAGCAGAAAAAAGAAAACAAAATCCAGTTAGTAGCATGTGAGAACTCGAGTCACTCTAAGCTGATCTTATTCTGTTCTCAGGTCTACATACTGTAATTACATATCTGATTCATACTACATGAAGCTGCACTGCCTTGAAATTTTAAAAAGCAGCTAAGGACTTTGTGTGAATAGAAAAGGGAGTTGCTGGGGATTGAACTCAGGGCCTTATATTACACATGCTATGCAAATGCTCAACCACTGAGCTATAACATCAGCTCTTAGGATATTGTTTTTCATAGTTTACTTTGGTTTTGTGTGTGTATCTGTTTTGCTTTTCATGTATGTTGGCGTACTACTTGCACACAGGTGTCCACAGAGGGCATTGGGCATCGGATCCCCTGAGTCTGGAGTTAAAAAGGTTGTGAGCTGCCATGTGGGTGCTGAGAATCACATCTGCTCCTCTAGAAGAGCAGCCAATGCTCTCAACTGATGAACTATCACCTTAGCCCCAACACTATTCTTTCCTACAGAAAACACTTCTGGTTGTTGTGGACAATTTTTGTTTCCCAAGAAAGGTTCTCACTCTCTAGCCCAGGCTGGCCTTGAACCCAAGTTCAGTTCCCAGTACCCAAAACTCCAGGGGATCTGACACCACTAGCCTCTATAGGCACCTGCACGCATGCGTACATATCGACACACAGGAACACGAGTGCACATGCTCTCGAGGGCGCACGTGCACACGCGCGCGCACACACACACACTTACAACATTTTTAATTATACAAAGTAGGTTCAAACTGCAATCTGACCACCACAAATAGATGCCAATGACTATGAATATGTGTGGGACTCCAAGCCACGGTCCAACCATCTGCTCACAGTCATCTACTGACCTTGGCTGCCCAGGGTAGAGGCAGCTGTATGGTAAGTCTCACAGTCCACACAAAATGTTCCTTGTTTCTCTGCCCCAAGCATCTCCAATTTTCTGGTGAGGAGCTCCACCGTCTGCTGGACACTCTTGCCCTCAGCCACAGGCATCTGGGACACACTGAAAAACAGAGAACCAAGTCAGCAGTGTCCAGAGACAAACATGCTCTGGCTGAGCCACTCATTCCCAAACAGTTACCGGATCAACGGGGCTAGGAGTTACTTTAGACAACACTAACTCTGATCCCTGCCCCTTAAACTGAGAAAGAAAGAGGCCCACAGACCCCAAGAGTTCCTCCAACTGGCAGAGCACAGGTCTTAAGTGTCTCACACAGGGGCATGACACTTTCTACCACATCAGCATTCCCAAGTAAGGCACATGTGCCAACATTAAGTGTTGAGTCCAAGTGGTACACACTGCACACAGTATCACTGAGTTGTATGGTGAGCGTGATTGATGGTGTACATGCCAACCTGACAGGACCCACAATCACTGGTTATTTGTGTAAGACAGGGTCTCACGGTGCAGCCAAAGCTGATCTGCAGTTCACTGCACTACCCCGAGCTGACCTCAGTCTCTTAGCAATCCTTCTGTGTCGGCCTCCAAGGTGCTGGAATTATAGGGGTACACTTGCTGAGACCTGTTTCTTAAACAAACTCCTGACCCTGTCTGTGAGCTTCTTATTTAACTAATTGAGTGTGGATAAAACAGCTGAGCAGGACATCCCCACACACCTCCTGACTATGGACACAATGGACCAGCTACCTCATGCTATTTTGGCTCAAATAGTGAGCCAAAATAAACCCTATCATACGCTGCTTTTGTCAGGTGTTGAGCCCCAGGAGGCTGGTGAATAATGTTCTGGACACTGTGGACAGAACTTTCCCACTATCACAGAGTTCCATTTAAAGGCACTAAGAACAAAGAGAAGGCATTCCTTGAGTGCATAAGCCTACAAAAAGAGACACAAGAGTCGTTTCAAGGACTTCAATCATTTTCCAGGTGCCCACCCCCATGGAGTGGTGGGCAATTATTGTCAAGCACCAGCAATGTACAAGATCTGAAAGCCTTCAGATGATTTTTTCCCTTTTCTTTGAGTTGTTGTTGTTTTGTTGGGTGGGGGTGAGACAGAGTCTCAAAGTTCTAGCTGTCCTGGAACTCACTCTGTAGACCAGGCTGGCCTTGAACTCTGAGATCCACCTGCCGCTGCCTCCCGAGTGCCTCTTCTGTACTCTTCTAACCATTCTCCTACACTGCCTCTAGGGATGTCATGGCCTGCTAATACTTATTAAACTTTATTTACTTATTTTGTTTCTTGGGACAGGGCTGCTCTGAGTAGCCCTGAAACCCAATTTGTAGACCAGGTTCAAGGCTAGCCTTTAACTCAGAAATCTGTCTGCCTCTCTGCTTCCTGAGTACTGGCATTAAAGACAAAGCCACAGCAACCGGTAAGGTAGCAATCTGCTAAAATGTTTTAAAGTGTTTTTAAAGAGACTGTTTGTTGGCGACTGGGAACTCACACTGCAGTCATTGCTGATCTGGAATTCAATACATTAGCCCCAGCTGACCTCACACTTTTATGGAGTCTTCTGCAGCTCAGCCTCCCACTTGCTGGAATTACAGAAGCGCACTTAGCTAAGACCTATTACATGATCAATAAATAACAACACAGATGGTTCTTAAATGGATTAAAAGTCAAGACTTTTCCCAAACTACTGTGTTTTAAAAACTCTGTCTTACTTTACCATCAATCAGCTAAAGAAATCTATTAAGCCGGGCGGTGGTGGCGCACGCTTTTAATCCCAGCACTCGAGAGGCAGAGGCAGGCGGATCTCTGTGAGTTCGAGGCCGGGTTGGACCGACAGCCTCCAAAACAATACAGAGAAACCCTGTCTCGTAAAAAAACAACAAAAAAAAAAACAACCAAAACTGACTCAAACATGTAGGAAGAGGTTCCTGAATGGTTAATGTGCCTGGAACCCCGACCTCCAAATCCCCCAAAAGCTCCCTATCCCCTCCCTCTGACATTAGACCCAATATCTTGAAGTCACCAAATTAAAGCCAGGCTGTTACTACTGCACGCACCATGTAAAAGTCACTTTCTCCTAGACGCCCCCCCCGCCCCTTTTATCGCTGCCTGCAAATAATTCCTAGTGCGAAACCGCATTCCCAACTTTTAGGGCCTCCTCGCGACACTATGGCCTCACGGACAGGAAGAAGTACCAAGAAAAAGGAGGTACGACTCCTGGCGGGTTCTTGGAATGAAGCGTTAGCTTTGCCAAAAGGATGCGTCTGGGGAGGAAGAAGCACCACACGGCGCCCCTCGCTCCATCCAACTCCACCCGAGGGCATCTTTGTCAGCCCGCGGGGGACCGAGAGATTTCCGTCCCGACCCCCTCCCGGGGACTTCACGACCCCAAGCTCCGCCCCACAAAAGCCTCTGCAGTCCTACCAAGTCACTCCCATAGCGCAGGGCCAAAAAGGTGGCACTTCCAAACACTCGACCTCAAGAGAACCAGAGGCCCACAGGAGGTGTAGCCACCTAAGGCCGGAGGCAGGCGTAGAACCGGTTCCGGAAACACGCAGAAACTGAGCGCCAGAGCGGCACGCCCACAGAAAGGGGCGTGTCCGATCGCTCCAGCGATGACACATGAGTACGTCATCGGCCAGGCTCCGCCCCCAAGGCACGCTTTGCTTTGACAGGACACCTTGGGCTACATTCCTTGAGTTCTGTCAAAGGTGACTCGGACATCCGCCCCCTTCCATACAATAAGGTTACCTGAGAATTTGGGAAGCCCAGCTCCCGGCCCCGGAGCTCTTCGACAGGTGGCGGTATATGAGGCACTTCCGGCCTCCGAACGCTGGGAGGCGCTGTGAACTCTCCGTGACCTCTTGGGCACCGGGACACAAGGCGCAAGCGCAGTCCTAGTTTTAAACCGGCTTCCCACGTGTAAGTCTTGTGGGCAAGTTTTTCGAGAAAAATGCCCAAACTGAAGGTGGCCCGTGGGGCCGGGAACCAGGAGAAGCATGCACCTCTGGCCGAGCAGATTCTGGCTGGGAATGCGGTGCGCGCGGGGACCCGAGACAAACGGCGGGGACGCGGCGTCGAAGAGGAGGAAGAGTATGTGGGACCCCGGCTGAGCAGACGGATTTTGCAGCAAGCCAGGCAGCAGCAAGAGGAGCTCGAGACTGAACACGGGACTGGAGACCAGCCTGCAAAACCGCGCGAACGTGCCACGCGGCTGGGTTAGTGACAAGGGGTGGGTTGGGCCGGGCTAAAGCAGGCCATCCGGATACTGGTTTGGAATTAAAAAGAGGAGGCAGGTTTTCTTCTCCCGCGTGGTCCTCCACTTCCACTCGTAGCTTCCGGAGCCCCAAAGTTCCCACAGGAAGTAATCACTCACACCAAGTTCTTATGTTTATTCTCTGGGCTTGTGAAGTAGTTGTGTGTTGTGTTACCTGCGTCATGCTTTTAACTGTGCAGTTGTGATACCGAAGTAAACAATGTAGTCTTCCTTGCTTTTAGCACCGGAAGTCTACCCCAAGGCAGAGAACATTAAGTAGAGTAATATATTCCAACCAGGAGCGGCGGTGCTCGCCTTTGATCCCAGCTAAGGCAGAAGAAGGCCCTCGTGGTCTACATAGTAAGGTCCAGATCTGCCTGAGCTACGTGGTGTATCTCTATTGCGCGAGAGAGTAAAAGAAAAGTAACATATTCCTATTCAAAGCAACAACAAAACGCCATTAATTCCACAGGACAGCACCCCAGGTTTCCTGTCCTTCCGTCTAAGATATGGAAAGCATATGGGAAATGTTCTAGTAACGGAGGAGGGAAAACGGTTTAGAGTCGCGTGGGGGTGGGTGGCAGGGATGACTGGATAAGTGATACTTGTCTCATTGGGTAGGAGCTGTTGTTGACCTCCACTTGCTTAGTCCTGCATTCTTTCTTGTTCTAAAAGCAGTATTGAGATGATTGAATATGGCTTTAGGGCCATAGTAGCTTTACTTGCTTTTGGGGGGGGGCTCACACCCAGAATGGCCTCAAACTCCATATGTAGGTGAGGATGACTTTGAGCTACTGATTTTGCCTCTGTTTTTCCAAGTGATGGCAATATAGATCTTTGACACCACATCTGCCCTTACATTTTTTTAAAATTATGATCCTGTGTCTCCTTAAATTGCTCATGCTGGACTTGAACTTGCTCTGTGACCAAGGCAGGTCTGAGCTTTAGGTCCTCCTGTGTTGCTGTCAGCAGATTCCAGTTTGAAGCCATCTACCTGATGACTGCTCCCAGCTTTTTCTCCCAGACATAGCTTTTTCAGTAAACATCCTCATATCCTCTTGTGTACCTGACATCTCTCTGCTTGCTCCATGGAGTCTGTTAGCACAGTAGCCTCCCCTTGCTCAAGGCTCCTCTTTCTCATTCTATGTCCGATTTTCAGTTAACCCTGATGATTTTGTCTTCAGGATATATCCAGAACCCGACCACTTTCCTTAGCTTGGAACATTCTCCTCTTTAAGCAGCCATGGTCACTAAGTGTCCTATAACCTCTGTGCTCCATTCAGCAGCTAGTGGACAATGGCACCCGTTGGGTCTACCTCTGCGACAGTCTGACCACACGCTAGGGAGGTGATGAGATAATTCAGTTGGTGAGATGCATAGTTTGAAATCAAGAGGCCCTGACTTCAGTATGCAGCGGCTTGTAATCCCAGAGCTAGGTAGGGGGTTGAAGACAGATCTCCTGGGCTCACTGAGCTCAGCTAACCCCAGGTCCCAGCCAGACCATGTCTCAAAAAGAAGTCAGCAGAAGCCAAGGAATAACGCTCAAGATTCCCCTCTGCTGCAGACATCATGCAAGTGTGCACACATACACTGAAATACCTCCCCCACAGATGTCAACATCCATCTCTGCACTATTGTTTTGTGTTCATGTGCATGCCATGCCATGTGTAGAGAGCAGAGGAAAACTCAATAATTGGCCCTCGGATCTTGAGAATGTTTGTTTTCAGCCTGGCAGTGTTGGCACACGCCTTTAATCCCAGCACTTGGGAGGCGGAAGCAGGCAGATCTCCCAAGTTCAAGGCCAGCCTGGTCTACATAGTGAGCTCCAGTCAGCCCGAGCTACACAGAGAAACCCTGTCTCAAAAAAACAAACAAAAAGCATTTGTTCTTTCAGAAGACCGGAGTTTGGTTCCAAGTATTCACATGACAGACCACTGCTATCTATAACTCCAATTCCAAGGGATCATATACCCTCTTCTGACCTCTTTTGGGCACGAGGCACACCTATGACTCTCAGGCATGCACATAAAATAGTATATATGTCTAAATAGTATATATAAAACCAACAACAAAACATGGTTCTCATTGGACAAGCTCCGTGTACTCTACTGAGCTATGTGTACCCTTAGTCCAGTTATGTTACAAATAACCTGTTATGTGATATTTCAACTTATTTGGTTTGTTAGACTCTTGCAGGGGCTTTGCCAGCTATGTGTGGTGTTTCAAAAGTCAGCCGGGTGTATTGGCACATGACTTTAAATCCCAGTACTCAGGAAGCAGAGGCAGGCAGATCTCTGTGAGCTTGAGCAAGTTCCATGCCAGCCAGGGTTATGTGGTCAGACCCTTGTCTCAAAAAAACAAAACAAAAAAGCCAGGAGTTAAATGTTAGGCATCATGGTACATGTTTGTAATTCTGACACTTGGGAGGTAGAGACAGAAGAACCAGGAATTAATTCCAGGTCATCCTTGAAATATATAAGTCAGTGTTGTGGGATAGAATTATTTAAGGACGGGCGTTGGTGGTGCACGCCTTTAATCCCAGCACTCGGGAGACGAGGCAGGCAGATCTCTTGAGTTTGTGACCAGCCTGATCTACAGAGTGAGTTCCAGGATATCCAGGACAGCCTCCAAAGCTCCAGAGAAATCCTGTCTTGAAAACCAAAAAAAAAAAAGGATATTTGTTTAACTGTGTAAAGATGTGTTAAATTTGTTTGTGTTGCAGAATAATCTAGATTGTTTATCTAAAAATGTGTTGCATTTGCTTAACTATGTGATACTGTTTCACCAAGTCTGGGGTTCAGAGAGAGAAAAGAGCAGCCAGACAGAAAGGAAGCAGGATGGACTGTATGTAGATGAGGTAAACGAGCCTGAGGCAGCACACAGATGAATAGAAATGGGTTAATTTAAATTTAAAAAAAAAAAAGCTAAGCAGAAACAAGCCTAAAGCTAAGGCCAAACATTCATAATTAATAATAAGTCTCTATGTCATGATTTGGGGGCTGGCAGTCCAAGAAAGCCTTCTGCTACAAGTCAGTAACTTTACGTGTATTAGTTGACTAGAGACTAAATACCACAGCCTAGCCTTGGGGCTTTCCAGGTTGGCTATACCTCGCCTATCCGGTCCTATAGTCCTATTTCTGGCTCTGGCTCCTTAATTCTCAACAGTAATAATATTAAAGTCCTTTTCTAGGATATGAGACATACATTTCCTCCCAAATTGCCCATCCAAAGCCTCATCACCCTCTGCACTAATCTAAGTGCTTGTGGCACATCTGCTCCTACCGTGGCTTTGGTTAGCACATGGTGCAGCTCTGCTGTGTAAGCAGCATGGAGGGGAAGAGGGCACAGTTTGGACCCGAGCTGCCTGCGATGGGCACATCGACTCTTCTGTCCGGGTTTGACCTGGGCACACTGATAGTGCCTACTTGTTGAGGTTACCTGGACTAACCAGGTTACATGTGTGTGCTATAGGACAGATCCTTCTAGATCACTGGAGATAGTGTGTCAGCCATTGACTGGCACCACTCTGTTTCTTGAGTTGTGTTTTATCTCTCAGGATTCCAGGTCTCTGGGGACAGAAAGATAGTTTGTAACTCTGTTCCTTCCTTGTGGCCTGCGTGTCTCCAACACCCTGGGCATGCAGTACATGGCAGAAGTAGATGACCAGAAGCCCCTGCCCTCCATGCTTATCGTTTTGTCTTCCTTCTTTAGGGCCGGGAGTGCCCCAGGATGGATCTGATGGTGAGGATGAGGAATGGCCCACCCTGGAAAAGGCAGCCAAAATGACCGGGGTGGACCACCAAGCGGAGGTGGTTGTGGACCCTGAAGATGAGCGTGCCATTGAAATGTTCATGAACAAGAACCCTCCTGTGAGGTAGGACTTGAGTGGATCCTGGTAGAAAGCTTCTGATCTGAGCATGGCCAGCTGTTGTAGAGTGTAACCTTCCCTGCCATCTGCCTGGGCCCTGTCACAGTTGCGGTCCCCAAATAACACACAAGACGCTATATTAATTATGAAGCTGTTGGCCGTTTGCTTGTTTCTTACTGGCCATCTCTGACTTCAGTATTTAACCCATAATTGTTAACCTAAGTATGTCTCTTACCAGAGAAAGGATCCTGACCTCTTGCTCCTCTGGTGGGCTACATTGTGTCTCCCTCTGCCTCTCTTTCCCAGAATCCTCCTTGACTCCTAGTCCCACCTATCTTGCTTCCCTATTGGCCAACAGTGCTTTATTGACACCAACCAGACACATCTTTACAGAATGACATCTCCCAACAAGCTGTAGAATACCATCTTGACCAAACCTTCTGAATGGGCTCGACCCAGATTCCAGATATCTCCTCTTTTGTCCATCCAATGTAGAACTTCCTGGATTACCCAGATCCTTTTTCTATTCTATGTGTTTGTTCTTGGCATGTTGCTCTCAGACCTTAGGCTCCCCTTAATCCCGGGCTCTCAGTCTCAGCCCTGGCATTTGGGCTGGGTGGGAGCCAGAACCTAAGGATCTTCTGCAGCTGACGCTGTCATCTCTCTGGATACTAGTAGTGATAATGAAAAACTATCCCAGACATCGCCAAATATCACCACAGGGGTAAAATTGCCTCCAGAGAGAACCGCAAATTCGTCCCCTTCTGGTTTAAAGCGGAACATGCAGGTGTTTAGGCTGCCTGAGGTCAGATTCTCGGGCAGATGTGTCTGGCCCAGTGGAGGGGAGTAAGTTTAGGGCAAAGGGCTCTCAACCAGTTTATTCTGACCCTGCATAACGTGAGGCCGTTCTCAGATCTTCAGAGTGTGGTGTAGTCCATCTCTCTATCACGAGTATGAATGAAGAGGGACGAAATGACGAGTGGCCCAGTGTGTAGAATGGGGAGAAGAGCCCCAGGTGGACACTGACGACTCCAATAGAGGTCACACGTGTGGATCTGGTCCGTGTCCTGGCCCCAGAGGACTCTTGGGCCCATCTCATATCTGCTCTTTCATGATTCTGACAAACTCAGCAGACTGGGTTTCTGAGATTCGCTGTGACTGACAAGGGCTTGAAGTTCTGAGCCCTCGGTGTTGGCATCTTCAGAACAGGCCAAGGTCTATGACCAGGACACGTGAGAGAGACTGAAACCCTGTCACACAGTGTGACCAGGACACGTGGGGGGGGACTGAAACCCTGTCACACAGTGTGACCAGGACACGTGAGAGAGACTGAAACCCTGTCACACAGTGTGACCAGGACACGTGGGAGGGACTGTGAACACTGTCACACAGTGTGACCAGGACACGTGGGGGGGACTGAAACCCTGTCACACAGTGTGACCAGGACACATGGGAGGGACTGTGAACCCCGTCAGTGTGACCAGGACACGTGGGAGGGACTGAAACCCTGTCACACAGTGTGACCAGGACACATGGGAGGGACTGAAACCCTGTCACACAGTGTGACCAGGACATGTGGGAGGGACTGAAACCCTGTCACACAGTGTGACCAGGACACGTGGGAGGGACTGAAGCACCTAAACTAGAGGTTGAAGGACTGAAATTTCACCCTGTCCCCAGTAAAGCCTGGTTGTCAACCTCTGAGTTTCAGACCTGTGTCTGTGTCTGGAAATAAAAGCACCTCCTATCAGATGCAGTGACAGCACACACCTTAATCCCAGCACTCGGGAGGCAGAGGCAGCTGCGTCTCTTGAGTTCAAGACCAGCCTGGTCTACAGAGCGAGTTCCAGGACAGCCAAGGCTACCCAGAGAAATCCTGTCTTGGGAAAAAAAGGAGGAGGAGGAAGGAAGGAAGGCTCCTCCCAATGTACTGCAGAGCTTAGGAGAGACTTGGAAAGTCTGAATGGTGTTGCCTGACTTCCTCCAGTGCTGGAGGCTAGAACCCAGGGTCTCCTCCATGCTAATCACCGAGTGACACCCCAACTGAGGGGCAATTTTAAGTACACGTCAGTGACCTTGAAAATGCCATTAGCAGACTATTAACCTGCTATGGTGGTGATTATGTTTAAAAGTTTATTTCTTTATTCATTTTACTTAATGTATATGGGTATTTTTCCTATATGTATGTACGTCACATGCATTCCTGATGGGAACTGAACCCAGATCCTCTGCAAGAGCAGTAAGTGCTCTTAACCACTGAGCTGTCTCTCCAGCCTCAGTCTGTGGTGACTTGGAATCCTCATTTGATGGCTTCTGTTTAAAGGGGCTGGAAAGGGCGGAACAGCAGAATGGCTAAGCAGGTGAAGGTCTTCCTGCACAAGCCTGGTGACCTGAGTTCAGTCCCCAGAGCTCACTCCAAGGTTGAAGGAAAACTCGGCCCCACAGAGTGATCTTCTGACTTGCACATGAGCACACAGCAATAGTAATCAAGTTTAAAGAGTAATTGAAGAGGCTGAGAAGGATGCAGTTGGTCTTGGGACTATTTCTGTGAGTGGAGGAAAGGTGGTGTTGTAGTCTCCTTAATGAGTGAAGCCACCTGGAGTCTCAGCAAGGGATGGTGGCGACGTGCCGACTGGACAAAGTGTTCCTGGGTACGTTACCACTTTACACTAGGAAACTGAGGCACAGAAGAGTAAAGCGAGAGGCCCAAGATCACACAGGGGAGAGAACAGTGACCCCTGAGCGAAACTGAAGTCAGAGTCCGACGACCTAACCTCCACGCCGCTGCCAGCGTTGTCTTAAGTGCAGTGACATTCGGGTCCTTCCCTCTGTGCGGCAGTTTGTGAAGTTTGTCATCATCCGGAGGGGTTGTGAGTTGCTTGCTTGTAGCAGTACTTAGCTAAAACTGGGACAGTGGCACAGGCTAGTATGACCCCTGTGCGAGGGTGACATGCTAGTTTGTGTGGCATTCCTGAACTGTTTTGGGACTGTTTTGTGGCTCCTTTTTGTCCTTTGAGACAGGGTCACTATGTAGTCCTGGCTGACCTAGAATTCCCTATGAAGACCACCACACTGCATTAACCTCACAGAAATCTGCCCACGTGTTGGCTGGTGCCACTACAGTGGTCTTCCCTCCCCTCCCTCCCTCCCTCCCTCCCATGAACGGGGTGAGGGGACTTTAGAGCGTCCTGGAGAGTGGTCCCAGTTCTCCCCTTCTCCCTCTGTCTCCGTAGGCGCACTCTGGCTGACATCATCATGGAGAAACTGACTGAGAAGCAGACAGAGGTGGAGACTGTCATGTCAGAGGTGTCGGGCTTCCCTATGCCTCAGCTGGACCCACGAGTCCTGGAGGTCTACAGAGGAGTCCGGGAGGTAAGGGCTGAGAGGGCATGTGTGGTGGGGTATCACGAGGCATCTCACACATGGCACCCGACGAGTAAGCCGTGGTGGCCAGGACAGAAAAGGACTGAGGCAGAACTTGGCTCCTTGTGTTGCCTCTTACCTGAGAAATGAGCCTTTTTTGGATTGCCCCGAGGGTGAGTGAGACAGTGCGTGAGAACAGCGACGGGGCCAGGACCTCAGCCATGGGTGCTGATTCTGCCTCCCTCATCCCCAGGTATTATCCAAGTACCGAAGTGGGAAACTGCCCAAGGCTTTTAAGATCATCCCTGCACTGTCCAACTGGGAACAAATCCTGTATGTCACTGAGCCTGAGGCCTGGACTGCAGCTGCTATGTATCAAGCCACCAGGTAGTGTAGACGGCTAGGGCGGTGCAGGGTGTCGGTGTGTAGGCTCTGCCTCTCTCAGCCATGTCATCGGTCAGCCCATGTTCCTATACTACTCCCTTAACGTCTCCTACATTTCCAGGACAGAGCCCTGTGGTAGACTTCTTTGGGAAGGGCCTGCATAGCTTCCAGGATACAGCCCTGACGTGAGAGAGTAGCTTGAGAATTCTGATTGTCTGGGTGATCTCAGGTTCCTCGTGGTGGAGAAAGGAGAGCAAGTAGCTGTGTAGCCAGCAAAAACTGGACTGGGGACGTAGCTCGAGGTGCCTCGCTTAAATAATGCACAGAAGGCCATGGGGCCAAGTATCAGCACTTTTATGTAAAACACTAGGGGCTGGGCAGTGGTGGTGCACACTTTTAATCCCAGCACTCAGGAGGCAGAGGCAGGTGGATCTCTGTGAGTTCGAGGCCAGCCTGGTCTGCAAACTGAGTTCTAGTACAGTCAGGACTATACACAGAGAAACCTTGTCTTGAAAAACAAAACAAAACAAAATGCTAGGTCTGGAGAAGTGGCTCAGTGGTTAAGAGCACTTGCTCTTGAGACAGGGTTTCTCTGTGGCTTTGGAGGCTGTCCTGGAACTCGCTCTGTAGACCAGACTGGCCTCGAACTCACAGAGATCCGCCTGCCTCTGCCTCCCGAGTGCTGGGATTAAAGGTGTGCGCCACCAACACCCGGCGAGCACTTGCTCTTCTAGAAGATGTGGGTTCAATTCCCAGCATGCATGTGGAGGCCTTCAACCACCTCTAGCTCCAGGAAAGCGGATTTCTCCTCTGGCACCATTGGTGCCAGGCATGCACATACATAGACACACATGCAGGGACAGCATACACACACACACACACTTAACACAGCAGAGACAGTGCACACTGTGGGGACATCCTGTATCGCCATCCTCTTCCTCTTTAACCTGGCCTGGGTGTGGTGTGCACACTTCACACACCCTCTCTGAAGTGATGTCCCCCATCTTATTATAAAACCTCTTGCAAGCACCATCCCCGGCGCTTGACTCTTGTGACCTGCAAACTCCCACTCTGCCAGGATTTTTGCCTCCAACCTGAAGGAACGGATGGCGCAGCGCTTCTACAACCTTGTCCTGCTTCCCCGAGTACGAGATGACATCACTGAGTATAAACGACTCAACTTTCACCTCTACATGGCACTCAAGAAGGCCCTGTTCAAGCCTGGAGCCTGGTTCAAAGGTAAACCCAGAAATAGAGAAAGGAAGGGTCAGAACCCCTGCTCAGCACCTGGCTGTGTTCCGCTGTTGGTCGTAGACGATGGGATTGCTGGGTACTGCTTCCTTCCCTCCTGCAGACTAAAGTCACGGTATATAACTCTGCCTAGGAATCCTGATCCCACTGTGCGAGTCTGGCACTTGTACCCTCCGAGAAGCCATCATCGTGGGCAGCATCATCACCAAGTGCTCCATCCCTGTGTTGCACTCCAGGTAGTATTGGTGCAGTGGAAGAGGAAGCCATGTATGTAGTGGAGAGCAGAACTTGGCAGGAGGGCAAGGGGGGAGAATGAGCTGTGATTACCGAGAGTCTGTGTCTTTCTAAGCTAGTGGGTGTATGATTGCTCCAGTAGAATAGAAGCCTTCAGTAGCAGGATCCAAGGACCCGGCACATGGTAGGTGTTGAGTGAATAGTTGTTGAATGACCGCATGAACGAATGGATACCTAGGGAAAAGTGTGATAGGAAGGTGGGAGACACCCAGAAGTGCTGTATACAGTCGAATGCAGGGATCGTCTGCTATCCCCGCCAGAGGCAGGGGTGTGGGACAGATGCAGACAGAGGCAGAGAGAGTCAATCCTAGGAGTGTAGTAAGTAGGTGAGGAGCCTGTGGCGACACCCTTGGGAGTGCTCTAGGTTAGGGTCAGCATCTCTCCCCTAGGCCTTAACTGCAGCTTCCCTCCTAGCGCGGCCATGCTGAAGATTGCTGAGATGGAATACAGTGGTGCAAACAGCATTTTCCTGCGCCTGCTGTTAGATAAGAAGTACGCGTTGCCCTACCGGGTGCTAGATGCCCTGGTCTTCCATTTTCTGGGCTTCCGGACGGAGAAGCGCCAGCTGCCGGTGCTCTGGCACCAGTGCCTCCTGACATTGGCACAACGCTACAAGGCCGACTTGGCCACAGACCAGAAGGAGGCCCTCCTGGAACTGCTTCGCCTGCAGCCACACCCACAGTTGTCTCCCGAAATCAGACGTGAGCTACAGAGTGCAGTCCCCAGAGATGTGGAAGATGTGCCCGGCACCATGGAATGACAGCAGTCACCTGTCTTGGTCCAGGGAGCATGGGAGGACAAGAGCCCAGTTGGTGACCAAAGATACAGTTAAAGACCTAGGTTAAGGCACCGAAGGCTTATGACGGCATCTGAGGCTCCAGTCCTAGGCAGGAGGGCTGGTCTGGTTGGCTTCCTCTGCCATTCCAGACTTCGGTCCCTGTTCACTTCTGGAAGCTGACTGGAGTTACCCGAGGTCAGCACTCCCACAGCCCAGCTGGCGCTTGGTGTCAGGGCTGCTCTCCCCAGTTACTGTGTCAGTTCACTGCCATGTGATAAACAGAGCCGGCTATTTATTGGAACTCTGTTGTTGGTCCAGTCCCTGGAGGTTCCTGCTTCCCATGTAGCTAGAGGTGGGAGTCCCTCCTGGTTCTTCCTGTTCCGAGTTCAGGAGTGGGTTTTTAGTGTCCATGGGACCCTCACCCTCTCCTGATCCTCACAGTTGTCTATCTAGACTCTGCTTCCTTTGCTCTCCACAAAGAGGAAGTGTGTGTGTGTGTGCACGCGCATGCACTCTCTACCAATGACATGACATGTTCATGGGCTACTTTGCTGCCATAGAATAGTCCATTGGAAAGGTCACAGTTGCCATATTGCTGTCAGTAGAGATGGCTGCAGGAGCAGGCCCTCTCTTTCTCGGAGAAGAGATCAACAAACTCAGACGTCCAGAAGGTTTCTTCCTTGCTTTCTGAACAAGAGCTTTAGACTGGTTAACAAACCAGGGTTAAATGCCTGTTTGTGTAGCTGATGAGCAAAGAATATTCTTTTGTTTTGTTTTTTGGGACAGTCTGTGGCTCTTGAGGCTGTCCTGGAGCTCACTCTGTAGACCAAGCTGGTCTCGAACTCAAGAGATCCACCTGCCTGTGCCTCCCGAGTGCTGGGATTAAAGGTGTGTGCCACCACAACCTGGCAAGAATCTTTTTTCTAATGGCTTAAAATGTGTATGAAATTTTAGTTGCGGTCAGGCATGGATCTCTAAGTTTAAGACCAAAAGCGGGGTGCAGGGCACATCCATGACCCACCCATTTGCATCACAGCTGACACCTCCAGTCATCAAAAGAGCACCTGTTACAGCCCGGTTTTTCTCTGGAAACAGGTTCAGTCTATTGAGTCATTCACATTTGCTTATACTTTTGGTTCATCTTGGAACAGCAGGTAAATGACCAGGAAAAGTACACCCGGCTCTGCCAAGCCAAATGACTCGCCTCTAGTGGTTTGCCTCTCTGTGCAGTACTGCAGATGGGAACCAGAGAAAGTACTTCCAGACACGCCCCTACTCCGCTCATCGCTTGTTTTTTAATGTGCGTGAGCACTGCCGCATGGCCTCAGATCCTGAGACTAGAGTTACTGATGGCTGAGCCACTTGTCCAACCCCATGTGGTCTTTGAAGCAGGATTTTGCCATGTAGCATAGGCTAGCCTAGAACAACTTCTCTGCCCTGTGAGTGCTACCAAAGATTGTAGGAATAGGCCACCAGCCCAAACCTTATTTCACATAAAAGTGTCCAGCCCTGTTTTCCCATGAAGCCCTCTGTGGTATGGTGGCCACTCCTCTAAGAAGAAATGTTCCCTGCCTGAGACAGCTGACTTGTGCCTCCCTACCTCTACACACAGCCCCAGGGACTGCAAGAGCCAAAGCCAGTTTTATTCCGGAATCTTTATTAAGGCAGCATGATAGAAATGGGCCACCAGCCCAAACCTTGTGGCCTAAGGAAAGACCTGTGTCAATAGGGCTTGACCTCTCCAGATAGGCTCTGTCCTCCGTAGAATCCATTCCTGCTTAAACCCTCAGCTGGGAGACAGGCACAGAGACCCCGGAGAGGAAGGCACGGCCCCATCCCAGGCTGTAGCAGCTCCTGGACCACAAAGCGGTAGCAGAGGGGAGGGAAACAGCAACCACCAGGGTCACCACCGCTTGTGGGGTACAGGCCTCACTGTACCCTCTTACAGTTGTATTCAAAGCAATAAATTAAAATGACCATCAGCACCCCTCAAGACCCCTCAAGCACAGAAGCTAAGCAGGAAGCAAAGCAAGAGTTGGTAGGCTCTTGCCCCTCTGGCCAAGGCCTAGGCTGTTCCCTCTAACAGCAGCTGGGAGCATGGGTTACACAGCAGCCATCTATCTGGTTCCTCATGCATGGCTATCAGGATGCCTGAAGGACCCAAATCCAAATGCACTGGCCCTAGCAGGGGCAACACCTTTGGAAGGTACTGGGGCATTTTGGCAATTGAGAAAATTAGAGCCCCAGAGAGAGGAGGGACTCAAAAAGGAATGCTGGTGCATGAACTTTACCTGTTTAGATTTCTCTGACCAGCATGGCCCAGAACAGCCGGGCTGGTCAAGTGGGGAGGAGGAGGAGCTGACTGGCCACGCCGAGCCCTCATGGCCAACCAGCACCTTAGTGCACAACTGTGGGGGTAGGCAGGACCTGGCCCCTTGGGCTTCGTGAGGGGGAGAAGGCCCCCCCTCGGGTTTCAGATATGGCATGGATTGTTCCTAGAGGAAGGGCGGGGGTGGCAGTGGCCCCTCCTCTGCTTGGTGGCCACCTGAGGGGGCCTGTCACAAGCTACAGGTGGATGGCTGTGACATCTGTGGGAGTGCTGGTCTGACTGGGCCCCTGGCTGCTAGATCCCCGGGGGGCTTTGGGCACTGGGCTGGGGGCCGTCTGGGCAGCTTCCCTGAGGCTCTCCCGAAGTGCAGCTTCGATCTGCTCCTGACAGGCCCGCAGGCAGTCCTAGGAAGAACAGCAAGGTCAGTGACAACAGGCAGGTACAAGGGAAAGGCCTCCCCCTGCACACCGGGAAGTCTGGGGAGGTTAGGCCACAGCCCAGCCCAGGAATTGGTCTCAGTTCTCAGAAACTGGCAAGAGGATGTGGCAAGGGTGTGAGAGCAGCCCTGCATCTGACACCAAGTCCCCCACCCTTGGCGCAGGATGGCACTGGCAAGAGGGGCAGCTACATGCCTGTCCTTCACCCCACCCGGTCCTCTCCAGGGGCAGGAGATAAAAGGCCACAGAAGCAGGCAGGGTTTACAACTGGAGTTGGGGGTGGGGGAGTCAGATGCTGCCCTCTCCTGGGGATTCGAGGGATAGCACTGCTTTTTGTGAATGGGGCCTGAGACTTACCACTTCAGTGCCTGTGATTCCGGCCAGCAACTCTGTGAGCTCATCTGCAGACATAGAACTGGCTCCTAGGCCTTGAACTGCAGCCCCGATGCTGCCTGTGGCGATCATGGATGGAGGGTACATTGCAAAGGTGTAATCTTGTAAAAGAAGGGGAGCCGTGAGAAGAGCCATCTTACACTTCTAGTCCCCGTCACAGCATGCCAGGCTGCATGAATGCAGCATACTGGGAACCCCCAGCAGTGGGTGGGGTGACTCAGGGACAAGGGGAGGGTTTGCTGTGTGTGCATGGTGCTGGCATCTGACTGAACCACTGTACCCCACCCAACCTTCTGAGATCTGAGAGAACGGCAAAATTTCCATCTACCCAGGCTGGACCTGGCCAGGAACTAGAGAATGCCCAAAACGCCGGAGCAGGGTCCTTAAACAAGTCACTTCCCACTGTACAGCGCCTCGCCTCCATCCCGGGACCACCAAGAGCCTATATAAATAGTCCTGAGCATGAACAATCTCCTGATTACTATTCAGCCTTCAAATCCTGACTTTCTCAGATTGGAAAAACGTGTCCAAGGCTCTTACCTGTAGCACAGAGGGCCAAAAAGGTCTGGGCATGCTTTTTGACCAAGGCCTGCCGGTCATTGGGCAGAGAAAGGCGATGCAGGATCAGAGCCAGGAAATCGTGTGCAATCACAGCAGCCAGGTCCCACTTGAGCTTCCCCAGGACCAGCACCTCCCATTCCTGGGGAGAGGGAGGGGCAGGCAGTCAGTGGCTGGGAAGGTGAGGACATGGCAGTTCCGCCTCTGGCTGCAGGACCAGCACCTTGGGATGATGAGTTCAGGGCATTTCTTGAGAATCTTCATTACTGGGTGCTAGAATTACATGACACCCCTTAGTCTTCCCATGAACGTGAGGCCAGCATCAGTTGAAGCAGAAAGACTAGATGGCAAGGACTTCAGAAGGAGGGCCACCCTCAATAGCCTGTCCCTCCCCAGCCCTGCATCTCAGCCAGGTCTCTTAGAGACAGAATGATCTCGAGGCACTCCTGAGGTTCCTCAAAGGGGAGATTACCCAACCCCACCCACACCCCTTTTGTGAGACGTCAGGGGTGGGTCCTGCCTCAATACACGGAGGCCAAGCCAAACAGGATGAATCCAGATGACCCCTGAGACACCTACCCAAGCCTACATAACCAATGAGAGACCTTGGAAGGAGTCTAGGAACCCCAACTCCAGCTCATTTGTCTGGGGTTCCAAGTCCTGGCCTGAGTTGCATTTCCGAGTTGCACACATGAGGATTTCTTCATTGTTTTATCTCAGGAAGGAACTCATGGGTTTGACTCCTCAGTGAGGTAGAAATGTCAGCCCCACCCAGCCTCTTCAGGACCCCAGCAACAGCTGTCCCTCTCTTTGTCCCACGACCTAGGTGTCAGCCCCAGGCTTCTTGGAAGAGCCTACAGAAAAAGCCTGGACTAGAGCCAGAAGTAAGGCACAGAGGCTTGCCCTGATAGCCAATAGCATCCAGCCTCCAAGGAAGCAAGGGCCAACCAAGGAGTGTGGGGAAGGTGGCCGCCCTCCCCGTACCCAGACAACATGAGAGCTCCCAAGGCTGGCAGCACACCGCTCATTCCTGGCTTGAAGGCATTCTGGTCAGTGCTGTACAGTTGGAATTTCCCCCTCCTTTCTCGGGCCTCAGCCTCTGCTGTGCAAGCGTTTAGACTGCTGGAGTTCTTAGAGGTCCCTCACAACTCTGACCGCAGGCCACTCGGCGCAGGCCTCGAGGACTCGCCTCTTCTGAAAAGCTCTCCTCACACACACTCTAATGCAGACCACCCTAATCTCTGCACAAAGGGGAAGTCTCCTGCCTCCCTGCCTCAATCCCTCAAAAACATCTTGCTCCCTGGCTCTGGAAACTACCAGATTCATCACAAAGAGCTGTGGGGCCTCCCGGATTCCCAACTCAGGCCTCCCATCAGCTGCTTGACAGGGAGAGGGATCCAGTTCCCCGACTCACAGCAGTCAGGGGCCCCAGTACCCTGGCTCCCCAGCCAGCCAATCACATTAGCCTGCCTGCTGCCCTCCTCCCTAGGAGATGGGGCCCAGAGACTCCTTTCAGGGTCAGGGAAGGCTTGGCCAGCCACAGAATAAGGTGGAGGGAGGTGCCAGCTCACCCACCCTCTCCCC